TTTTTTTTTTTCTATATATCTACTACACCTTACCTTCCTTTTCGTTTTCGTTTTATTTTCTTTATATCTCGGAGATTCTAAATCGTATTTACATTCCCGATTGCCGTTGAAATTTCTCTTTTTTATCTTTTGAACGTTATTTTTTTTAAAGCTATTTTGAACGTTATTTTTTTTTTTCTCTCTATCTTGTTTCTGCTTCTTTTTGTTTTGTTTTTGTTTATTTTCATCATTATTATTATCTTCATTTTATTAGTCTTTTATTTTTAATAAATTTATACTTATTGGGTTATTTCACGTGAAAATTCTTGGATATTTTCCTGAGATTCTTTTTTCATAAATATTTACAATGTTGCTTAATTTTCTCAAAAATGTTCAAAAACTTTTTTGAATGATATTCCATTGACATCTATAAAAAGAAAATAATATAAATTTAAAATTTTCTACTTAAATCGTGACAGCAAACAAATCTCAACATATAATCTCTACGTAATTGTCTTGATGAAATTGAACACGAATCGCTTGCTTAACTAAAATTCTTTATTTCTATAAAATATAATTTACAAATATTTTGCATATTTATGTATGTATGTATATACTTGGATAAAAATATTTATTCCATTTTATCGAATTTTTTTTTTTTTTTTTTTTTTTCTCAATATGGGGCACTAAAAATCTTAATTTACAAATCAATCACTTTTTTGTTTTTTGTTAGTAACACGCGGCAAATGCTTCACTGAATAAATAATAGATGCACGTACATGCAACATATTTAAGACTTTACTGTAAAAATCTCTGTCACGTGATACATAAATCTTAATTGCATGTTTTTCACGTGCCAAAATGCGTACAAATTACACAATGAAATTAGTTATGTTGATCTTATTTTAAAATCAAATGAATTTAAATAATTAATATTTAATATGAAATAAATAATAAAATATTGTTAATATAATTACTTAGTCTAAAAAAAATGGATTAGAAACCCAATAATTGAAAAATTAATTATTATATTAAAAATATTTGTCAAAGAATTTATTTTATATAGACAAATCTCAAAATCAGTAATTATATGATATTTGTATAGAGTAGTAGATGGTAAATATAAAGTTTAAATAAAAATAAATTTTAATTAAAATTATTAATATTATAAAATTTTAACTATAATTATAATAATAAGAATTATGGATTTTTCTTAATAAAAAGATTTAATACTAGTTAAAAATTACAAAATTATTTCTTATAATTTATACTAATAAAAATAATATATAAATTATAAGATTTATAATAATAATGATTATAGCTAATTTATTATTATTATAAAAGAGTAATTTAATAGTATTTAAATCATTAGATTTGCAAAATTAAATATTTATATTTTTTTTACAAATTATTTAGTATATAATAAATAGATATATAATAGATATATAATAGATATATATAAAATAAAAAGAAAATCTATATATGCACTTGGATGGGTAAGCAATTTTTTCGATCATTTAGGGTATTTTAGAGACATGTCTCCCCTTTGTATTGATGTATCACGATTCCTTTGAGTATAATAAAAATATATAAATATATATATATATAAAATAAAAAAGAAATCTATATACAATATCTGCTAACTATCTATTAAATTATTAGTTTATATATATAGATTTGTTTGCTTATTATTTAATAAAAACCATATAATTTTAAATAGATATTTAGACAACTTGCTTTTATATTTAATTATAAAGTTTTTTTTAAAAAAAATATATAATTTTATTAATAATACTTTAATTTTATAAAAATTTAACTGTATCTAATATAAATTTTTTAATAAATATATTATTTATAAAAAATAATATTTAATTAGTACAATTAAAATATCTTAATATATATTTACTATTTAAAATAAAAAAGAATAAAGTTTTTTTAACAATTAATTTAAATTACTAATTCACTTTTATAATGTTTTAATATTTTCTTATATAAATATATTTTTAACCTTTTTAAAAATTTTAATTGATTTCAAAGTTATTAAAATATTTTTTGAAAAATTATTTAATTCAATCATTATTATCTTTTAAAAAAAACAATTAATTTTAATTTTTGGATTCATTTCTTCTATTTTTAATAAAAAATAATAATATTTTTATTATTATTAATCATATTATTATTAAAAATCTAATAATAAATAATAAATAATAATATTTCAATTACTAATTTTTATGACTTTATATAAAAAAAGAAATTAATTTATTTGAAATCTATTTTATTCTTTTAATATTATTTTTAAAAACAAAAAGATATTAATAAATTAATCTATTTTAAAATATATATACAGTATATATTTTTAATATTGAATTATGTATTATTTTATTAGAATATATTTGGATTACAATAATAATCACAAATATTCTATGAATGATACTTTCAGCTTCTAACCAGTTCGATCAAACATTAGATATTATTATATTATAAATAAAATTAAAAATAAAAATAAATAGTAAGTAAACTAAAATAAAATACTATAAATTAGAAATAAAAATAAGAATTATAAATAAATAAAATTATAAATAAAAATAAATATAAATAAAAATAATTAAAATTATTTTTGAAACTATTAATCCAATAATTTTTTGCCTATATATTATTATTATTATATAATCTTTTTAAATTTCTTCTTTTGGAATTCAATCCTCATATATGTATTTCTTTATGAAAATACTTTTTAAATTACTAGTAAATAGGAATCTAGATGATAAGCAATAGAGGAAATATATAAATCTTTAAATACAATAGCCAAAAGAATTTGAATATAATACTTAAATATTCTAATAAAATATTTAAAAGCAAAAATATTTTCTGAAACAGAAGAAAAAAATATAATGTTATCTTATCAATGATTAAAGTAACTGAAAACTTTAATACTTTAATAGATTAATTAGAATTTAATTTAATAGAAGAGTTTTAAGTTGATTACAAATAATTTTATGAAATAAAATTAAATGTTCAATTAAAGAAAATAGGTTTTTATAAAAATAATGTAAGACTTTTATAGATATAACAAAAATTATAAATAATCTCTTGTTCACAAAATTACTAATTTTGAATTATATTTATAGTATCTATTTCTTCAGTAGTTTTAGCATGTTTGTTATTTTTAAGAGATGGAGAGTAGTTATCCTGACATTGAAAAGAACCAGTAAGTAATGATTTTGTTTAGTAAGGTTATTGAGTATATTAAGCAGTCTTTTTCCTATTATAAGTAGAAAATATATCTAAAAAGTAAGTAAAATAAAAGAAAAAATAAGAGTTTTAACAAGCAAAATTTTTATAAGTTTTTCTGTTAATATAGTAAATTGAAGGTAATGGGAAAGATTTTTCAAAAGAAATAAATCAAATAAATCAAATAAATTAAATAAATTAAGAAATTAAATTGAAAAAATTGAAAAAATTGAAAGACCTATAAAATAATCTATATATAATTACTGTGTTATTACACTTTATATTTTAATACTTTCTCTTCCTTACTTTCTGACTTTTTAAGTTCTTGAGATGTTTCTTAAACAGAAATAGCCTGCAGATGGAATTTCAACCTTATATTCCAGTTTTTGAATGGTTGATTTTATCAGCTTATAGATGAAATACTTATACTTCTAGAATATATAAGTTTTGAACAGACACTTTCTGCAGAACTTTTTTGAACTATTGACCTTATTTACTTAGTTTTTGACTAATTTGATGTTACAATTTTTTAATAAAATATTACAAAAAGAAGTTGCAACCTTGACCGAATTTGGGGGTTTTGCAGTCTGAGCAAATCTATTAGCAGCAATAACAATTATAATGACAACAACTACAAGAAGAATATTTGTCAGGGTGGTGTCAAGTATAAAGAGAGCCTAAGAAACATTATTTTGTTCTTTTTAATTCAACAATTAATTGATAATCTTATAATATGGTCTTACAAGCCTATGATACTCTGGGGAAAATTGATTTGATTACAGATAAAGATCTACAAATTTTTTTAGGGGGATAGGCGTAGCCAGTTTGCTCCGAACTTAAGACGTTGCTCCTGGTCTAGTAGGAACACGAGTACAAGAATAGATCATGTGTGGATCCTGGAGCGATTCGTTCCACAATTATTACACTACGATTTGTACAAGTCAGATCATGTGATCATTCTATTCTCACGGTTTGCCTTCTCATTGTTGGAGAAATCTGACAATGCCAGAAGCCACACAAAGGTAACGGAACAAATAACTAATCCTAAAGTTAGAACTATGGATAGATAATGCCAAAACACAGGACCAGACAAAGTGAACCCGGAGGATGCTAAGGTTATTATTGAGGACGCATGGGAATATATCACAGTGTCATTTATCGAAGTTGCAAACTGCCTCAGAAGAAATCGGGAGTCAAGAATAGGAAACGCAATAGAAAATCTTCGAAAACGATTGCGGAAAAACATACTCGGAACCTCGCTCGGTGGCTAAATTATGCACTAACATGAATGGAGATAAGGAAGGGGCAACAATGCGTCAGATCTAAACCGTGTCTTAACTGGGACCCTGGGGTTGAGGAAATGAGGTTATCTAATCATGTCAAGCCATTTACACCCAATTGGATAGATATTGTAAATTCAGACTTATAGAGCTCGACAAAAGCACGAAAAATTTTTGTTTATGGAAAATAAAGCAACGTAAAGAAATCACCGATTCCATAAAAAACGAATCCAACAAATTGAAACGGAACAGTCAAAATGGATAAGGAATGTGTATTGGATAAACAAAATCATAACATTCCGATTGACAGATTATTAAAACAACACCCGACAGGAGAAATGGAATTATTGGTAGATCCAAAAGAGGTAGCAGAGCATGCAGTATCTTAATATTCGCATCAGTTTAGAACAAGAAATATCAAATTCACAGGACTTCATGACATGCCTGCATTTTGGAAATACATATGTATACACACCTATGGATCAACATCGATCAAAATATAGCGGACTCCTTAAGGAAATCTCTGAAAACCAGAGCTAAAACAAACGATAGCGCTGCGAAAATATCTGGAATCGCTTTGTTTAAACGAACAAGTATTAAGTCGTGAGCTAGTGCTTCGTCTTGGGACGTATATGCTGAATTGCTTTGTTTCCAAAGCACTGTTTAACTAGTAATCAGATTTCAATGAAATTTATACCATTTTATTCCTCTCATTAAAATAAATTGGATGGTTAGACGAATCTGCTTGGATTTATCACCTTCGCACGAATGGGAAAATATGCTAAAGGTCATCAATGAAAATCAGCACCTGGTAAATCGGGTATTGGCTACCTCATGATCAAGAAGCTTCCTTCAAGGTTACATAATCTGATAAGAGAAACATACAACCTTATACTAGTTTCAGGACACATCCCTGAACAATGGAAATCTTCAACGATAATTCCCATTTCGAAACCAGAGAAATTTAATTACAATATGGTCAATGTTAGACCAATAGCACTATTAGATACATTTAGAAAAGTACATTTAGAAAACTTTAACCAAAATTATAAGTTCCAGGTTGGGGACGATATTTAATGATAATAAGGATATATATATTATGTCCGGACAATTTTTGTGGCCTTAAAGGAGATTCAACGTCAACGCCTATACAACTAATCAAGACCAACACAAACAGTTATGGATTATGTTTCGGGATATAGCAAAGGTATTTAATTCTGTTAGTGTAAAGGGCCTTGAACTTGCATTGCAACGTATAGTTGTTCCGCAAAGTATAATCAAGCTAATAATTAACCTTTTTCAAGGAAGAAAAGCTCAAATCCTAACATCGTTTGGACTGACTCCTTCTTTTGAGGCCGTAGATCAAGGAGACAGTCTCTCTCTCGTTTTATGGCGAATATATTACGACCCATTACTCAACGCAATTACCAAAAGACACCAGACAAATCATAAAGAATTTGGGTATGAAATTAGTTGTAGTTCTAATAGCTGGGGGACTATAGGAAAAGAATAGCGGTTACGGCGTACATGGACGATACAGCGTTATAGAAACGTCGAAAGAAGGAATGCAAGCACTTTTAAATATAGTCAACTCCTTTTACAACATGATGGATATAGTAATCAATGTTTAAAAGTGTGATCTCTTAATTTTTAATTCACCGTTACCTAAAGATGATAATAAAGTTTATTTAGGTAACTCCACCGATGATCTAGTATTAGCTTCCAAAGAGACATTCACTATTTAGGTATATGGCTAGCGGAAAAAAGAGCTCGATCATTGAACAAGCAACGTATAATGGGCATCAAAGACGTGTTCTTACAATCAGTTCGTAGGAAATCGCTATCCATAGCTCACATAGTATACCTGGTCAATAAGGTGTTATACCCAAAGATATCATACCTTAGCTAAACATTGAGTTTATCAAAAAAAGAATGGGAAAGCATTGAACGTCCCGTTGGATTGATCAATAGTTTGGCTCCTCCGAGATAGGAAGAATGCATGAAGGCCAGAATCGAGAACTGGCCATCGTCGACCAGAGCAGATTGTATGCCATCTTACTTGCTTTACTATCATACCCTCCCATCAATGCGACTCTGTACAAAAAGATCGGCTAATTGATAGCAATAATTTTTTGATTTTGCAGAATATGTAGGGTAGTACAGTACTAAAGGTTGAGGGACATAGCGGGCATTTTTGGTCAAACTTCTAAATAATTTGTTACCAGTAGGTCAAACGCTTGAACGACGCAAACCACATTTGTATTGGTCTTTCAAATGTCCAATGTGTAACATGGAAGAAGAGAATATTATTCATGTCAACGAATGTAAAGGTGAATCAGCGCTTGCGATTAAAAAGATTATTTCACTCAGCTCAGGTCATTCATCAAAGAGCTGCTACACAATGACTTAGAGTTAAACACCAACAGGATCAACATCGCTCAATAACTTTATGAGCACATCAGAAGTTTCGGACAAATTTGTTTCTCTGCGCCATAACGCGCTAAAGGGAAAAATGGATCTGCCATCATCCTCGCGACTAATGAAAGATCTAAAATTACTAGGAAAAAGACAATCACAATATGTACTAAAATTCTCATTAAAATGGCCACCCTTATTAAAGTAGAATGGTGGATCCTTATTTGAAGCAGTAGCAACTACACCATTAAATACCTATTTCTGAATGAAACACTTGTCATGGAAAGTTATTTAATAAATTTGATTTCATTATTTCATACCATGATGCTGATAGGAGAAATTCATGTAGAGGTGCAAGATGACAGTACAATGGGAAGTTTCCAAGGGAATTGATCAAACAATTGTACGTTCAAAAAATGGCAATTCGAAGGCAGTCATCAAATAATATCAATAATGCAATTCAAAATTCAGATATAAGAAGTATATGTGGGTAAATAATTAAGGATTGCTAGGGTGAAGGTAATAGTCAATGACTGATAATGGATGATGAAAACTTCACAAAAAATACTCTGCTATTAATTAGTAGTGTGTGTGTAAGAAATGCCCACTAATTGAGGCATTATCGCTTATTTTTCGGTAAAAATGGTAGAAAACAAATATTATTGAGAAAATGCAGGTACCATCAACAAAGGTTTATTTTGTTGAATTTGAAAAATTACTAAAAAGTTGCGTTGCGTATAAGTAAATATAGGTTTTAGTTATATATTTTATAAATATATATTATTAACTCACAGGGTATATTTGTATAGTTTTTGTAATTATTCCTTTAAATAAGGAACATCGTTCCCTTTGAGTATATCATCAAAATACAATATAAAAGTACGAATAAAAATAATAAAATAAAAATGATTCTTTATTAAAATAATCAAATACAATTTAAAAGTAAATGTTCTTAAAATACAATTTAAAAATATGAAAAAAATACGGAATAAAAAAAAAGAAAAATACTATAATATATATACTATTTACTACGGCAACTACAATTACAATATATACAGTATTAACAACTTTGACGTAATTCGAAAACTTTAATTCCTTTTCTATAAGCATAATCAATTATAGATTGATTATTGAAACCATTTATTAACCAAAGTTTCTTCAGAGTAGTGGGAAATAAATCGATTTCCTTTTCTTCCAATCTACAATGGAATCTTAATTCTACAAGACTTTTTAATTTTTGAATCATTTCAAGCTGAAATTGTCTCCCGATATGACATGGAGCCTCACAAGTACTTATATCAATCGTATTTAATAATAATATTTTACAATCTAAATAACGCAATGTGTCCGCAAAACGAACTATTGATGAAAAAAGCAATGTAGGGGATGCGTACATGTGTAGGATCAATGTATGAAGAAAGGGAGCGTTAATCGGGAATGTGTATATCCATTTTTTACAATAATAATAGGGACAATTTGATGAAGAATGCAGAGTGTTACGAATGTAACCAGAAATATTTAAATATTCAATGGTTGAAGGGAGTTTAATCGTATCACGAGGAAATGATGGATAACTCACAGTCAGGTGAGTAAGAAACTTTGGAATGTCAAATAAATTTTTAAAAAAAAAACAATTTGAAACGTCTAAACGTTTCAATGTATTAGGAGGAGGTGTTGATGTAAATATTTGGTTTTCATAAGATTGAATTTGTAAACACATAACGAAACTATTGATCGATTTTGGTAAAGAACATAAATCCATCAATTGAAAACAAATATTTTGTTTTAAATGAAATGTATAAGGGATTATTAACTTCAAATTACATAATTTTGGAGAGAATACTTCGATCAATTCATTTAATTGGGAATTGAAAAATTTATCGGTGTTAATTGTCAATGACTCAAGATTTTTCAGTTTCTTTAACATTATAGATAAAGATTTTTCGGTTACTAAAAATTTATGATAAATAAAATTATATATAAATAATTAAATTAATTATTATTAGTAATATTTTTTAAGACAAATAAAAATCTTACTTTGAGGACAATTTATAATTGAAAGATCAATTAATTGATCAAATATATTGGAAAATCTAAAAATAAAAATTTAACGCAAAAAAATTTAATAAAAATATTTTAAATGAGGTAAATATTATATTATTATTATTATTATTATATACCCGTCTGCAGTTAAATCCATACAACCATAGAGGTAAAGTTTCTTTACATGATTCAAGTTTTTATTATTCAGCCATTCATTTATCTGGCTTTCGGAGTTCCAATTATAAGGATCATAAAAAACATGCGGATCACAATTATTTACATGCAAGTAACGACTATCAATTATATCGAGATTCTTTAAGGTAGGAGGAGGTACGACAAATTCTAATTTGTGCTTCTGTAAAATGAAATTAGTAATTCATATATAGTATATATCATATTAATACAATTTGATAACTTACATAAATATTACGGATATCATAATAAGCATCACTTATTAAACTGATCAAAATATGGTTCCATCTTTTACACGTTAAACGTATTTCGGTCCTTTCTATTTCATGGATGAAAAATTCATCGTCATCGCAAATCCTCATTAAATTAGTTGGCATTAAATTGCCAAATATTTGTATTAAGATTTCTGTGGGCAAGTTTTGGACGATATCCGTTTCACATCGGTTTGGTGGCGTGTTATTAAAGGCGAGGGAACGTAATTGGGAAAATCCTAGATTTCGTTGCATTATCAAGAATTAGACAATAAATATTATTATTATAAATATTGATTTTTTTTACGATAAAATCTCAATCAAGGACACAAAAAATGACTGTTTAAATAACAAAATCATTACGGTTTATCTATACAGTTTATTTTAAACGGAATATTATTGTATTTTTTTAATCTTTTACTGAATCTTCATAACCTTAATAATAAAAGTCATTGAGTGAGTAAGCCTTGTATATAATTAGCATTTTGTTTCACTTTTTGTACCAACCTTGACTGAAATTTGATTGTACCATCTCGTTTTATATTGATTATCGTTTATATCGTGAAGAAACAATGAAATAGCTGTTCAATGAATCATACAAATAAAAACAATAATATAACTTTAAAAAGAATAATTTATTGTAATATTTGACATTATCTAAGGAGATCGCGTTTTTAATATTTAATTTAATTTTAAGTTGGATCGGGTTTACGCACCCGTATGCGGCTGACAATTAATTTAGGAATAATACTTGTTTTTTTCTTGTTTCTTGTACAAATGAGTATATTTGAATAATCTCTTTTTAGTAAATATTTTCTTGGAATAATTAATATTAATTAATTAATTAAAAATTTTTAAAAATAAAAAAGGCATTGTCCCTCAAAGTACCCACAACTTTTTAGTAGGATGATTCGAATAATTGTGTTTTCCATTTCCGGAGCATCAAAATCTAAAATGGTAAATCATTCAGTATCAGTAGAAATCTTTGATTTCAATATTCTAAATACCGAATCTTTTGAAAATTCGACATGTAACGCGTTTCTTGTTTTTTTCATCTCTATTACATAGTATTACAAGTATTACACCATTTTTCTTTTAACTCTCCAATTTTTTAAATTTAGTTTGTTTCTTTTTGTTGGCCAAAAAAAGTTTAAAATAAAAATGGTCTAAATTATTCTAATTATATAAAGTAAGAATCCAAATTTCTCATTCTACATGAACTTGGTGCTTCTACTAAAAAAATCGTCCAATGATGTTACTTGATTTTTATGCAAAGAGAGATTGAGCAAATATTGGGGAAATTTGTGTTCATGTTGATCGAGTCTAACTGCTGGTAAGGTTTTTTGATCACGTGCAACCAATCATGTTCTTTATGAATCGTGTACACGTTCCCCACCCCTTAAAAATTTTAGTTATACCCTTTATATTGTTTTAGTAGTTAAATACCATAAATGGAATTCAAAATGTAGATTTTACGTTATAAAAATATATATTATATATATTATAATTTTTTAGAATCCTTTCACAAATATAATAATATATACTATGAAAGCGCTAATTAAATATTAAAGCTCATTTGTTAAAATTATTAAAAATTGAAGTTCGTTCAACTAAATATTAAGGGGGTGATCTGCTGTATGAAGTAATAAGAAAATTATATGAATTTTATTTATTAGATTTTATTGGTTCTCATCGCAAGGTATATTGACCTTTGTGAAACTTAATATGATTACAGTAACTCCTAAAAATAATATGGTACCTTCGAGAAAAAGAAAATGATTTCTACAGTAAACAAAAAAAAAAAAAAAAAAAAAAAAAAATTCAGAAATATTTGCACTTCAGATATCCGACGTGAACATTCTTCAATTTGCATGTTATATTTTTCAATACAGAAAAAAAAATATTTAATTTCAAATAATAAGATTTTTTTTTTTTTTCATCTTGTTCTACATTTACGGCAAAACTGATTGATAAAAATTCCTGGTTCCGGATGCAACGAAACCGTGTAGGTATACTATTATAAGACTAGCCATTTTATTCATGGGCGGATACATATCCGTTGTCCATAAACAAATAGGATCTTCGAAAGTGGTGCTTTTCAACCTGTAAAGGGAATAAAGATAGGGAATACACTACATTTTCATCCGTTATCAAATGTTTTGCAGAAAAATACGGAATTGTTTTCATAATCATTCCTATATCAGACGCTTTGCCACATAAAAATATTAAAGCCAAGCCACAGTTACAAAATTGCTCAGACGCAACATCCGACGACAATTATTACTTTATTTACGTCAAGGTTTGGTTACTTTAAAAGTAATTTTTGTGGCAGCAATTTATTTGGACAATATTAAGTTAGTATTTATATTTCAGTGGCTTATTGTTCCAATGGCTTATTATAATTATTAAAATTTTTTTTATAACTACTTTCAGAAATTAATCGGTTAAATTAATTCCGTTAAAAATGAACATTTCTGATTTACAATGATAACTTAAAATTGACCCTATGGCTTGATTTTTTTTTTTAGATATATAACGACAATATGCATCCATCCATTTTAATTCTCACGGAAGACCGTTCGTGATTTCATCCTCCTAAATTTTTATATAAGAAATTTTTCAGAAGCACTTTTTTCACAAAAGTTACCTAGCATTTATTCAAGATTTTTTATGTTTTTCTATTTACTCCCTTAAAATATTTAGTGCGATATTTTTTTCTTTACAAAATATGAAAGAAAAACTTTTAACAACAAGTACTCAACACCGAAACGTCCTTAAAAAAGGATATAAAATAATTAATCATTTCAAAGAATCAAATATGATTTATTTTAACAATGAAAAGGACTATTGAAGGCAATTTATGATTCTGCAATGACTGAAGTATTTGGAAATGGAATACAAATCAAGGACTAAGACAAACTTATCAGTAAAGAAGACTTCATTACCAGGCTGAGAAGTCAAAGGGCAACTGTAAAAACCAGTAATCCTTCTTTTGCAAAATGATGAACAACATTTAGATTTCATATATTTTCATTTAGAATTTATAAATAAGAATTTTAATGCATCTCTTTTGGTAATCTCAGAAATAAGAACAGTTCACAACAAATTTATCTGAATTAAATGAATTAGTTGAATTATATGAATTATATGAATTAGATGAAAGCATTACTTTTATTATTAGATAATAATTAATGTATTAAAATAGAATTGGTGATGACAAAGGAGATAGATAATTATATTGGACATAAATAAATTCTTTGAACAAGAAGGAACAAGAAGAAAAATGAGAAATGAGATAAACTAAAAGAAATAGTTGCGACCATATGAATCATATATTTTAGAACTATAGTCGATTATTGGTGGAAATTGAAAATGGATTTTCCCATAATAATGGTAGTCCCACATCGGCCGTTTTAATATTAGTTTCATAAATAAATTTAATTGTTTTTCAAAAAAAACTCGTTTAAATTCATCTAGATAGAACTTTTTTGAACTATTCTCAGTAGAGGATTTGGCCGAAAGCGTTAGTTACAACATTACGGCTTAAGTTCCTTCACATCAACCACATCCATCTTCTTAAAATATCACCATCGCAACAATCTTTCAATTGGAATACTATTAAGGGAAACCTTCGTAGAGTTAAATATCTCTTCTTGAAAATAATCGGAAATTTGTGGATGAACACTGTGTTGACGACGAAGAATCTTCATCGTATATTATCGTTGACGATGAAGAATCTTCATCGTATATATCGTTGACGATGAAGAATCTTCATCTGTTTAATATCCATCGTCTCATCTCAAAACATATCATCGCGATTATCTCAAAATGTCCTGTTCTTTTATTTATTATTCGTAGATGAAAATAAGGTAACATGCATTCTGGATTTTCATCTTCAAAGGCCATCCAAATCATCAAATAATCAACAGTGGCTAAAGTAGTATAAAGTTTTAGACCATTAATTGGTTCTTCATAAATAAATGATATATCTTGGTCTTGGAGAGATACATTTTGAGATGCAAACCAATTTAATTACACTCTTCCCGCGGAAGCAGTTTGCCCCATTAATATTGGCCTTTTATCTTTAACTGATAATTATATAATGCTGTTTTATGTCCACGATGGCCAGATGTAAATCCGGTTGAAACGAACTTGTTAAAGCTTCAATTGGAATATTACTAAAGGAAGCGCCTTCGTAGAGTCAAATACGACTTCTTGAAAATAATAGGAAATTTGTGGAAGACGATCGAGATGTGAGAATTGCCGATGATGAAGAATTCTTCGTCAAATTGTTGAACTGCTGCTGACGATAAAGAATTTTATTTAAATTTGGAGCAGATAATTTGCAGACAATATTCTTGTAGTTGAATTTGTTGACGATAAAGAATTCTTCATCAACTTGTTGAATTTTTGACGATGAAGAATGGTTGTTTAAATTCGGATAATTTGTAAACAATATTCTTGTACCATGTACAGTATTGCACTTGTTCAAATTTTGAATTGTTGACGATGAAGAATCTTTATCGAGACTAGAAATCCACGATAGTCTCTTCATAATAATAACATATAATAAAATAAATTGTTTTTCAAATATTGGGTATAGTAAAAGTAGCCAAAGCTTATTTTTTGATTTCATTTTTCAAAATGTCAATAAAGTTTTAATATACTAAAGATATTTACGATTTTTATTTCTTGCTTCAATATTTACGTGAACTCTTTATATATATATTTTTATCATCATTCGTTTGATGCATCGCATATTAATTGGTATAATTGATTCCTAAAAAAAATTTTAATTGTATCCAAAAACGGTTAAATTTAATACAGGAGTGCAGGTAATCAAATGTCAGAATATTATTTCATATTGTACCACAAATGTTTGAACGTATTATTTTTTAATTTTCGACGGAATATGTATGAAACATTTGATTATTTTAATAGTAAGACAATAGTAAATTAATTCTCAATTTAAAACGTGTAAAAGCTCAATGTGGATAATTAGAAACATTTATCCGTAATTCCGTATTTCCGAAAGAAATAATAATAGAAAAATGGGAGCGTTTTAAACTTGGATAATGATAATAAAATTTTTAATATTGTATCTATTATTTCATGCTACGACTGTTACGTAATACATATTGCCATTAAAAATGATTTATTTGTGATTTGTTTGTATTTGTATAAAATTAAAATAATTTATGCGTTATCAAGATTGAATCTTTGCTTATTACACTAAAATATAATTATTGACATTCAGAAAATATAGATGAATTTCTAAAAATTAAGTAATAGAATTTCTGAAAAAGAAAAACAAATGAATTTTAACAAAATGGAATGATATTATCATGAAACACTAAAAGAACTTGCGTTCCACAGATGACAATGGCGAAGCAAGCATTTATAAATCCTTTTTTAGCTTAGAATGAAAGTTTAATTCATTTCGGTATCGGATTTAACATTTCGGTAAATCCGATCGCCAAATTCTAATTTTTTTTTTTTCAAATAATTTACATATGGATTTTAATAAATATTAATACTACATAAGAATTAAAGTCTATATTTAATATATTTTTTAAATATTGTTCTTAATAAACAAACAATCAATTTTATTAATTATGATTAATAAGTTCAAATATATTTTAATTATAAAATCGTAGCGCGTCCCTAATTGTGTTACATACCGTTGTTCCCAAATTTGTAAATCATCTACTCTAATTGTTTCAAATTGTGCTATTGAATCCAAATTTGAATTTCAATCCGATTTTTGTAACGATTTATTTTTAGTCGCGTAACAAATATAATAATTTGATCTTTTTAATAAATCTGGTCCAATCAAATCACAATGAAATTCCACCAGTATCATTAATATATTCCGGAGCAGAATCCGATTTACTATATTGCTAAAATTCTTGCGATTTTAAAGATTAAATAATAATAATTAACAATTAACAGTTAAAAAATTTAAAAGCGAATATCAAAAGAAATTTAGATCGTAACCGATGAAGTTCACTTCGATAATCGATTTGTATATTATCATTAAATTAAAAAAAAAATTTCGTATATGTTAAACCTAATTCTCTAACAATGTTTTCTGTTTCATTAATGTCATTAACCACTCTTTTGTCAGCCAAATAATGTTTCATTGTTCCAGTCACTCTTTTGTCAGCCAAATAATGTTTCATTGCTCCAATCAGTCTTTTGTCAGCCAAAATAATTAAAAAAAGGTACATACAAATATTGTTCTATCAAGTTTACAATTGAAACAAATATATTTACGTTGAAACTTTACTTTTTTTAAATATTTCACAAATCATTTGATAAAAATATGGAAAAGAAAACATTTTAATATTACACTAATTCGAGAAACATCTATAAAATGACAATGATTTGAAGTTTTTTACTTAAATTTATTTTTATCAGACAATTAAAATATTAAAAAATATCTTTATTTCTCACAAATATCAAATAATCATTATCCTTATACAGTATAACAACAATTTTTCATTAATACTGTCAAAAATGAATATTTTTATAATAACAATCACTATGCACGTTGATTCATTCTCCTTGAATGGACATATTGAAATCACTAACATACAAATGCCTGAATCTTTAAAATTAAAGAGTCCCGCCAGTAAAAATCTAGTCCTTTATACTACTAAATTGTATTGCAAAGGTCATTCAATTGTAATAAAGAAAATTCTAATACTTAGTTACAATTGTGAAGAAAAGAAGCAGATACGATTTATTCGATTTTAAAATGATGTCCACTAGCATACAAGGAGGAACCATGGGATCGGCAGGTCACCCTTAAATATACCCTTGGTCTATATTTTACATATGACAGTATTTACAAATGGCATTTAAATACGGCTACTTAGGCGGGTTTATATTATAGAAATGGTTTTAATTTAGTTTATTTTTTTTATTTTTGTTATTTTTCTTTTTCAATTTTGATTTGCTTACAATAATTATATGTATACTGGTAAAATAAAAATAAAAATATACCCGTTTTACATGTCACATGATTTTTATGTTATATATGTATCGTCCATATATTTATTATTTACATAATTGTTGAATGAGATTAATGAGATTGTTGTCACATTAATAATTTTTCTATATAAAAATATTCCGGATGTCTAATAAATAAGATGTAAAATTCAAATTATTTGAATAACTAATCCAAATTATTTTTTCAAAAATTACACAACACGAACAGGATTATCTATGCTCTTACATTCTTATATTTATAATAACTAAAATTATATTGTTAATTTCATTTTCCAATAGTTTTTACTTTGTACCTAGAATTCTTAACTTCTCTTTCGATTGAAAGTTGCGCCATACCTTTAGTTCAAACTGGTGTAATATGAGTAAAAAAATTCATGTAGTCGTTCAAACTGGTGTAATGTGAGTAAAAAAATTCATATAGTCGTTCAAACTGGTGTAATATGAGTAAAAAAATTCATGTAGTCTTGCATTGGTATTCTTGGAAATTTACCCCTTCTTGAAATTAAATTTCATATAATACTTTTTCTACTTTTTGCAACTTGTTACATAACATGCGATCTAATTTTGTTGTTTTAGGAACGTTTTCAACTTTCACAGGATGTCCCCTGTTGTATATTATAATCTTTATTGCTTCCCTTCTACCGCTATTGTATCGAATGTATAAAAGTTACAGCAGCAAATTCGCGTTTACTAATATAGTAAATTATATCTTTTATACATTGTTACTTATGTTAACCCCAAAAAGCCGGTACGTCAAAAAACGGTTAAAACCGCAAGATTACCGCCTTGAAAATGAAAAAGGGATAGACGAGGAAAAAGGAATAGACGAGGGGGAGGGGGAGGGAAAGTGAAAGAATTGATCTGAAATATCAGATAGTTTGAGTTTATGACAAAAAGGGCAAAAGAGGAACACTCAACCATTCATTTTCCAATATTAATCTCCAAATGTTGTGGATTTATTAAACTTGAAAATGAAGTTTGTAGCATAATTTTTCTAACTTATCACGAGAACCAATCTCCTGTAATCCAACTGATCCATGCATTCTTTTGTGTATGTCTAATAACACACGGTTGCTAATTCTCTTACGAACGCAGAAACAACCACTGATAATTAATCGGACACACGGTTGCTAGTTTTCTAACAAACGAAGAACCAACAAGTCAGATTCGGATACACGGTTGCTAGTTCTCTTACGAACGCAGAAACAACCACTGATAATTAATCGGTCACACAGTTGCAAGTTTTCTAACAAACGAAGAGCCAACAAGTCACACGGTTGCTAGTTCTCTTACGAACGCAGAAACAACCACTGATAATCAGTCAGACACACGGTTGCTACTTCTCTAACAAACGAGAACCAACAATGGAAAATCAGTCAGATTCGGACACACAGTTGCTAGTTAATTTTTCTTAATTTTCCACATTAGGAAATGTTGTTATGACCCGCTTTATTACCAAGAGTTTAACCAGTGCATTAGGAGCTGGGGAACAATATGCAGAATGTCAATAACGCTTTGAACAATCTCAATGCAACTGTAGCAGCGAATAATAATGCGATTCTCAACTAAGCTACTGTACTGACATTTTATGGCGGAAATCAAGATCCGATTATGTGGATGAATGAGTTCAATAACGCATTTGCAAAGTTGCTATATAATATCCTTAGCTATTTATTTTCAGCTCTACAACATGATGGACGGATTCTGACGAGTGAAGGTCATCATCTTGTCTACCTGCCTTTTATTCAATTTCTTCATATGTTGTTATTCTGTATTTCTAATAAGTTATATTCTAAAATATTAATAAACTTTTAATTTAAATTTCTGATCTTCCCCACTAATCAGAGAGTCAAGATTATTTTCAATGATTTCGGAAGAAAAATAACATCTGGTATGAAAACTTCCATTAAGAACACTCAAAAATCTGTCCTGTTCATATTCCTTGCTAAATAATAACCTTCCCATATTTTTGGTTACTTTTTAACACTCATCCTCTTCTCGCTCAGATCTATATACAATTAAAGATACATCATCTCATATTAATTCCTCACCGGAGTGGTAAAATAATGTCGGAACCAATCTTAAGCTAATGATCTGTCACGTTGTTATATCTTTACCCTTTTCTTTGGCACACTGTTGCACCAGATGTTTCTAATTCATTTATTTAATTGCTCTAAGGGCTTTGTTTGTTTCATGACTTTAGGTTCGAAGTATTTGTAATTGATATTTCATCTATCATCTAGGAGATCTTAATTCCTGAGAGAACTGCTTCCTTTCTTAGCGCGTATGAATGTTTACTTTCTCTTTCATTCATTTGGTAACCCTGTGACTTTACATTTTTCCTATGTAAATGGTAACGCTACATGCAATTGTAGAAAATTTTCAAGTTAAAGGCAATCGGCGCTTTTGCAACCGCATATTCTGCTAGATCGTGTTTCTAGTACACCTTCTGACGTCAAGAATTCTACCAATCTTTTTTATTTGATGTCATAAATCGAAAAATCCTATGAACGCAGATAAAGTTCAATAGTTTCGTTGGCTTTACCCTCCTTAAGCGCCATTACCATGTTCCTGAAGGTATTTTGTAACAATCTGGTGGATCATTGTAAAAATAACTGCATCAGTACCCAAGAAAAAAAACAAACCATGTTTATTAATAAATTACATTTTTTAAAAATAAGTAAATGGATAAATAAATTAAATATAATAATATACCATCATTTTTTAAATGTTGGTGCCATTTCTTACCAAGCGATGCGGTGGCAGACTTTAAAATACCATCCATTTTTTTTTTAAAAAAAACTCATATTATCATGAACTCCAATATAAACGTGAAGCAGACCATCCATAAACGTGTCTAAAGCCTGTGTAGTTGTACTTACTCTATTATTGCTTTTAGCGCTTCATATTCTCTATTGCCTCCTTTGAAGTTTCTGAGAAAGTACGCATCGTAATTAAGCGTTCTTAAGGTTTTGCATTTTCTTTGATATGTTATGAATTATTTCCCTCCTCCTTTTCTATATATAGCCTTTAATAGTTTTGATGCGTTTTTGGTATGTGAATTAAATATCGAAGGGTAAAGAATGGAGTGATGAAAGTAAAGGAAGGAGTAGAAAAAAAAGGTAAAGGGGGCAAAGAAAGAAGAGGTAAATTTGACCTATTCCTACTTTCTTAAAATAACAAATGGGCTTATCTGATATAAATGGAATCTGGTTAAAAGTAAACATTCACACAGTAAAAGTATACAAAGAATTAGTTGTGGTTGGGCCTTGACAATATTACCATCGAAATCATAGCATATCTATCAGAAAGCTGCTATCATATGTATCTATGCATAGTACTGCATCTGAAATAAAGGGTTGTTCTTTTTTCCTAGCATCATTTGCGGAAGCTCCCAGTATAGGCCATCTTCTAAGATGAAATGGACTAAAAATTGGAAATTACATACAATAAGGTCTTAAAGTAGGGTTTAGATCCGTATATCCAAGTTATTCATAGAAATGTATCCAAATTCAATATCCGTAATCCATAGCACGGATAACACGTATTATCCAATTTCTAAAAGCAAAATAAAAAAATATTAATTAGCATTAAAACTCCAAAGTGTTGAAGTAAAGTTTTAAAAAATCCCGTACATGAAAATACAATATGTTTTAAATGTCAAATTTGACCTCCAAGAATTTACTTTTTTTATTTTTATTTTTCTTGCGTTTTCGTAAATTATAAAAAATTTTTTTTTACTTACTAGGTACGTAGATTAAAAGATTATCCACGGATCGATCATCCACTATACAGAAAATAATGCGATGACTATATCAAAGGTCCGATCATACAATTACTGTATACTTTCCTTTAAATTAAGCCTTTCTTCTGATCTACCTTGTCCATTCTTAAAGATATTAGTTTAATTCTTGAAATTCATGCTTCATACAATCTACTACAAGCATTAAAGAAACCACTATTTTTGTCAGTATCGCTGTTTTCAAGGAATAAAGTACTGAAGTAAAAGAAGGGAACAAATTTTTATCAAGAGAAAGTTTCTTCCAAATCATCTCCTGAGATCTCGAGATCTTCCATAGTTTAGAGATCAATCCGAAAATTTTAAACTCTGGTTCGTATTTTTAAGACCACTCCCGTTTTAGTATTATTGTTCAAACTTCAACTACAAGCGGAATCTTTGAACACCTCAGCAAACCAAGCATTCGACAAGAAACAATTGGAAACTGAATCCGGTTATATGGGGAATTCAGGATAGACCTTTTCGCGAACCGCCTGAACGCTCAGCTTCTGAAATATTTTGCATGGAAGCCAGACTCTACGATCATTGACATGATATAATGCATTGGAAAGGATATCCCTGCATTTGATGTGGAAGAGTGTCTTGGCCGTAGTTATATTAATCAATATTTGAATTATAATATTCGATCACACTCGAAAAATATTAAAAAAAAAAATTCGATTTATTATTTTAAATTAAATTTAGCCAGAAATTCAAAGAATTGAATTGTATCTATGTAAGCAAAATTCTTTTTTTTTTTTCAAAGAAAACCATTTTTTAAAAACTCCAAATCAGCAACTAAGTAAAAATCGGTTTATTACAGTATTATATTAAGTGAAGGATTCTACAAATATGCAACAATAATTTAGGTGGCTATTTCATCACAAAATTTTCAACACAAATTTTATAGCGTAATTTTAGCGCCTTAATTGGTTTTGATGGTTGATCAAATTGTTATATCACCATTCAATCATTTCTTCGATCTTGACAACCCTGGCTTTGTTGTAAAGGAAGGATCTTTTTGATATCGTTTTGAGATTTTCGTTTATTCTAAGAGGTTTGTTCGTGTCACGCGAGTATGAACAATCTGATATCAATATAGTCAATCTGGCCAATCTGATATGGTCTTGATAAGAAATTGATTACTGTAGGCAAAATATTTTCGGTAATCTTAATGAAGAAGCGGTTAGGCAGTTGTATATGAAATGGTGAGAGATCCTTCGGTATATTTTACAGAGTGCTCTAAATAGTAATGTTCAAATTAAGCTTCAAGGAACGGTTGACACTTGTGATGAGAAAATATTCCAATACATTGGCGGAAGTAATAGCAGAACCGCAAATTCAATTAATAAAAAAAATTTAAAAATTCAATAAAGTATTGAATATGGAGTTGCATTAAGAATGGAATCAAAATTTCTTAATTGCCAAATCGGCACTATCGTGAAATTTGAATTTTGTATTTATCGCAATAGCGAATCTTAATATTACGTGAATCCCAACTTATTGGGTTCAAAAATTACATAATAAAGCTAAAAAATTAAAATTATAACTTAGGTTAGATCAATAATTTGTGTATAAATAAGGCTTAGCGTTAGAACACAAGATCTTTGCTACGTATATTTACTTTTAAAAAAATATGCAAGCTGACGAGGAAATAAAGATTTATTCATGAATGCACGGATTTTGTAATTATTTACTGACAAAATAGAGTAAAATTATTAAATCTTAGTATAAAACGTGCAGCTTCAATATCACAAATTTCCTTTTCTCAATAATATAAAAAAAAAAATTCTTTTTTGATTGGAAAATTCTATTAATTTTATTACAACTTGTATGATAATATGTAAGAAAAAAAAACTGATATCCCCATTGCGTGAATAAAAAAGACGCGAATGTACAAAATTTGAGTACTGATTTTAAAATTCAAAATTGAATTCGAGGTCACCCAATGCACAAATTTGAATAACATGTAGTTTACATAGATCGAGAGGATGTTGCGCTAGACACGTCGCACAGACACATTCCAACAGACTATTATCAATTTTAAATTCTCGTAATTCTGCGAATATAACATCCGATCCGTCATCTTGAGGGAATATCTTCTTTCGCTGATTCATTATATCGAATAGTTGTCCTTGATACGCCTCATAAAATCCTATATATGACGCTAATTGATTAAACCTTCGGTCCTGTAATAATGTAAAAATCTCTTGACCTGCATAGATATAAAGACCTAAAAAAAAAAAAGGAAATATCATCAAATTACTTAAATGTAGAATGTTTAGTTTTTATTTTCTTAATACTATACTTACCATGTCTCTGGTCAAGCATGAATGCCTTGCTACTTCCTAAAAACAAAATAAGAATAAAAAAATTCATCAATATATACCATACCATTGTATCATTTATTAATATAACGCCTGTCTCTTATACACATCTAGATGTGTATAAGAGACAGATATATACCATACCATTGTATCATTTATTAATATAACGTAGTGCATTAATACCTGTTCGTCCACTAATTAACAAAAAGAGAAAAGTTCTTGGTTAAGGAATTAAATATTCAATACGGATTTATAAAACGAATGAAAAGAATTAAAATTCAAAGGATACGATGCAAAACATGTTGCTTTTCCACCGTGGGTGACCAATGGTATAGCTGTTCGTTTATAAACCTAGCATATTTTACAAAAATAAATAAACACTCATATATTCTCATATAAAAACACTATCCTCTATTTTTACCTCTTCGTTGTTAGCATCAGCGTCAAAGACATCATTAAATACGTAAGTATGTTGCTCAACATACTTGGAAAAGTCGACTTTATTTCTAATTAATTAATAAAATTTATTAAGTCCGAAAGTAATTCAGTCAAAATATTAAAGTAACATACGCGTTTAAAGGTCGCCCCGGCGTTGTAAGTATTTGAATTTCCTCTTCCGTTGCAATTATTTGAAGTTCCTCTTCTTCTTGAGTCGTTATTAAGGTCACATACGCGTTTAAAGGTTGCCCCGGAGTTGTAATTAATTGAATTTCCTCCTCCTCTTGAGTAATTAAGGTAACATACGCGTTTAAAGGTCGCCCCGTTGTTGTAAGTAGTTGAAGTTCCTCTTCCTGTGTAGATGTAGAAATACGACCTCGACCTTGAGCTTGAGCAGGCGATTGAAGGGAAGTGTCCATATTTATAGTTTATAGATAGTAGAAATAGTAGAAAAATAGAAAAAATGATTTTGATGATTTTGATGGATAAAAACAAGAGTAGTTCGAGTATGGATGTTTTCAAGAAAACAAAATTATTGTCCGGAAGGGGCGGAAGGGGCTATATATATATGTTTGCGCGTCAGTCGCGTCACGTCAATAAAATTGAAATATAAAAAATATAAACAAGTTAAAATAGAAAAACGCGATCACGTCGTGAAATTTAATTATATAGAAACTGTGCCCAAAGCAACTAGATCAGATTATCGGTCGCGTACATCTTTTTTCTTATAATAATAAAAAATAAATGCCGTACAAAAACAATAAATGAACAACTATATTATTTTTTCAACAATAAACCTCTACTCTTATTACTCTTATGACATTAAAATTAACTTTCCAACCTTTTACAAAATTTGATTCGTTTGAGTCTTTCAAAACTGAAGGGACTAAAGAGAAGATCCTCTAAAGCACACCCGAGATACTGCTACAAAAGAAAGACCTGCAGCAAACTCTTTCATTCCAAGATCTATTTAGCTTTTGGTTAAGTGAGTCCCTGACTTTTGTGCATAATTTCACCCCTTCTAACTTCTAACCTTTGCCGTAACCGTTTTAATCGTCCCCCATTTATTGTTGCTATTACATATTGGTATAGATAATGCAGAGTGAACTGTCCTCCCTCTGATATTGAAGGCCGACAACCCCGTTGGTGCAAGTACAAGTAGTGGAGTCTTAGTCTCGTTACCTGCCATTTCGTGAAGCATGTTTCGGATCGCCATGATAAGGTATGATTTTCCTGTTCCCGCTGTTCCCATGATTATTGTTCTTAGTGGTTCGGTCTGGGGGGTTTGTAAGCAAGCATGCTGTGATAATGCAATTTTATTCTCTTTAATATCATCTGCTGTTTTTCATTCAGGATATCATAATTCACAATGCCCACACAACGATTTTCATTTTCTTCGTTATCCCGCTAATCTCCAGTTGCCTGTTGCAAAAAATTATTAGCATCTGCGAGATCCGAATCATCATAATGTTGTTTGCCATCATTAACCCAATCATGGTTTCGATCCATATCGCGGGTTCCCAGGTCAGATGAACACTCTATGTTGCATTTGGTCTCATCTCCGCGAGAATCGTCCAATCGAGTCTGATCATCTTCGTTTTTTTCTTCCATTAGTTCTTCCTCCTCAGCAATTTCTTCTTCATTATCTACAGCCGGTCCAAGCAAGTCATAATCTCTTCGATGAAACGATCATACAGTGTTGACCAACCGATATCGCCATTTTCAGTCAGCTGTTCGATATTTCTTGTGCCAAACGTGAAGGAGGATCTTTACTCGGCAGAATTCCTCTCACTGAGATCCTTTTTGCATTTCTTCCAATGACCGTTAGAATTCTGCAGGTCTATTCCAATAATTTTTCAAAGGTGATTGTCCTGTACTTCCAACATCATCGCCCAGGCTTGTTCCTTCAACTTCTTCCCTACTTCCTGTACCATGATGCCACCGCGGTGAAGGTTTAATGTAATAAATGTTCGACTTGAATGATATAAAGGGATGCCGAGAAGAAGATTATCTGTCTCTTGAGCTGAGATATCACGCTCAGAAACGCTGTGGATTGACTATTCATCTTTAGTTTTACTTCGTTTTTTCGCGTCTTTGAGAATCGCGTCGCAAAACCTGATCGTTTCGTCTCATCGTGTTTTTACTCTATTCAATATGCGCGATTTCGAATTACTTTAATTATTTTATCCATTTACAGCCTGCACACATGATCAATTTTTACCTTAGCAAAAGACGCACGTTTTATTATTTATTACTTTAGAAAAAATTTTATCCTTTTACAGTTTACCCACATGTTCAATCATTATACAAATAGCAAAAGAATTTACACAATTTGCATGTAAAAATGTAATAAAATAACTTTAATTTAAATTTTTATAAGAATACAATGATTTGAATATTTAGTAAAATACTATTCTATAACCAACCAAAATCCATAAAATTTCCTGATCATTTGCAGATCATGTGAATTTTCGCTCAGGACTCTCATTTCCTAGTATATAGTATATTTAAACCTTACATATTTCTTATATTTTTTTAAAGGTTAAAATTATATGCTTTGTATATTTCTATATAATTTATTTATCTAATTATTTTTTTATAAAATATTTTTTTTACTTTTGTAAAAATTACATATAAAATTTAAATTATTTGTATAATTTCATATATAATTTTAAATAAATATATTTGTAAAGGTTAAAGATAAAGATAAACAAGTGTTAAAAAGTATAATTATTAAATTAATAGCATATAGGTTCTTAAAAGATGAAATAATAAAGAAAAGAATTATTAAAAGATATTGTAAAAGAACCCAAATATCTCTCAAATAACTCAAAAAAAATTTATAGTAAAATGCATTTTTAGCAATAATTCAGTCAATATTAATGCTAAAATATGATTTACTACCATTGGATTTATCTTATTAAAATGAATCCTAAATTTGTTAAAATCCAATTACTGAATTGCTTAGCTTAAATACAGGAATATATAAGTTAAAAAATTTTGAAAATACTCTTAAAATAGAAATGCTGGGTAAAACTGAAATATTTAGTCATTTGATAAAACTGAAATAGTTTAGACATTTAAAACTAAAAGACAAAATGCTAAAATTCAATATTCCATGGTATTTCTATAGATTTTTCATAAATTTCCATGGTTTTTTAATTATAATAATTACTTAAAAAAATAAATTTTTATTAAAATATAATATTTTTTAAAAAGAATTTATAAAACTATTATAAATATAATTAATTTTATATATTTTTATAATAAAACTATAATTTTATATAATTACAATTAAAATTAAAAATTATTATTATATAGTTTAGTTAATGACAAAACTGAAACTAGTTGGTGATGAAACTAAAATTTTTGCCAAAAAAAGTTTAGGCAGACATCACTATCTTAAAATACACAATTCTAACTAGAATTAATATTTAAATTCTATAAAAACTCTAATATAAGTTGTATGAAAGATGTTTGGAATCCTATTATAAGTATAAATAAAAAAAGGATTTAAAAATTCAACAAAAAACATTAATATTTGCAAAAGCTTAAAAAAAATTGAATTAAAAATAAAAAACCTATAGTAATAAATAATAAAAAAGATTTTAAAAATAAAGTTAAAAAGTTATTAAAATATAAAAATGTTATATTAGCAATTATAGAAAAAATAAAATACATAAGATGTTAATATTGTGTGTTAGATGTCAATTTGTGTCAGATAATAACTGCATATTTTAAAGAAGGAAATTTCCACCAATATAAATCCAAACGTGTTGAAATTTTAGCATTATATATTTAAAAATGTAATGAACTAATTTACTTAGACAATCAAGGCACATTAAAACTGAAAAATTTTATGTTTAATTATAGCTAAAATTTTGAATAATATTATCTGCAATATATAATTCAGCATTAATGGTATTTACTTGAAATTTTCAGGATATATGCAAATAATTATGATGCACAGATTTACTTATAAAATAAAAGATAATTTAATTAATAAATAAAAATGTTTACTTATAAGAAACTATTCAAAATTGGCATCTTATGCACATTAGCTGTCATCTGACGCAAATCGACACCTAAAGATGGTCATCAGTTCTAGAAGACCGCGATCCTACGGTCCTACACCATAAAAAGACAGACTGGTCCATCTTAGTGTAGGACCACGGTCTTTCAATTCTGTATCACATATAATAAGACCGTCAGTCTTTTTAAGGACTGCAAGGACCCCAGAAATACTTATATAGGTAAGTCCCAAAAATATTTTTTATTAGTAGCTCTAAGCATAGGTTTTTACTATGATCGCTAAGCATTGTTGATATCTAACCTTAAAAATTATATAAAAATAAGCAAATCAATCTTCTAACCTAATTAAATTTTTATTATAACACATATAATTCTTAAAATATATTTATTAATTAATATATTTTATTAAATCCAATTTTAAATATGTTGTGAAGCTAAACTAAACATAATATACAAGTAGATTAACAATATTCAATTAATAAAGTTAATAAACAGTAAAAGAAAAATTCGAAATTAATACTATTACAAAAAATGTA